AGGAATTCTAACACATACCTCACCTCTCAGTCTTCTGTTTCACAAAGTGTGCTCTAAAGAATGAAATTATCTCAAATTAAACACAAGTTCAATGGTGAAAATGGCACACAGCCTTTTCCTTAAACTTGGGAGTTTCACTTTTAACTTTCAGTGTGACATTAATAGGAGAAAAGCCATTTTACTGGTAAAAAAACCTTTGCAGTTAATCTATCCTCAGTAGTCTCCTTGAAAACCACTGAGTGAAGAAACCCTCATCTACAAGTCAGACTAAGCAGTAGTTAGTCACATATGTGATTTGTAGAGAAGTATTTTAAGAGAAAGACTGCATTTTATTAGGCTGAGCAAACATATGAGCTCAGCTTTACTCCCCGTTTCTCTCTTGGTGCAGGGCTCTCTTTAATCAGTTCTGTTTGTAGACCAGAGGCATGCATTTTTTCCCTGTAGTATCAGAAAAAAGGCTAGTCCTGCAATCTCAGCCAACAGCTAAGGTCCCCAGGGACACAAATCTGCTTGCACAGGCACAAGTGCAGGATCAAACCTCAGCTAAAAAAAGAATAATAGAAAGGAAAACACAAACTTATGGGCTTGCTGTTGGTGGTTAGAAACCTAACTGAACCTTTGGTTACATCCGAAAACACACTAACCAAACGTGAAATTTGGATAATCTAGATTTCCCTTTAAGTACTAAAACCCAAGCCACAGCAGTGGAGCATTTTTCAAAAACAGGAGTGGAAACCTGATTGATCAATAAGTCAATCTCATAATAAGGAGGAAGTGTGGTTTCTGGAGACAGAAAATGGATAGATGAAGATGGGTTGCCGACAGTCAGAAAACACAGTCCTATTGAAATTTAAAGGCTTTACAGGCGTTTCACGATTTTTTGTAGATGTTTTGGAGAGTATCATGTTACTTTGTCTGGCATGAAATGTTTGCATTTTTTTTTAATAGCAGTGGTAATGTTGCATCAGGTTTGGGGTTTTTTTAAAATTAATCTAAATTAGATTAGAATGGAATCAAAGTGAAATTAATGGAGCTAAGTTCTTAGGACAGAAACCTTCCATAAGACAGTTCCTGTCTAATCCTTAACAGACACTAAGATACTCCTATTTGGTCCTACCATCACGACTTTTTAATATGCACAGTCAGTCCTGTCTGAGGTCTGGTATAACTATTATATAGATGAAACAGACAATTAAGGATGAAGTTTGTATCTGTTTAAAAGGTGTCTTCACCTTCTATAACATTGCCACAGCAAGCTGTGCTAATCTAAACATCACTTAATGAGAGCACTTGTCTGTACAGCTTCCTTGAGAAACCATACAGAAATGGAGCCAGAAAATAGTTTGAGAGCCAGAGAGCCTCTATAAATCAAATGAAATCGAGCTTCTTCCTTAACAAAGGTTTTCTTTGCCTGCTTCTCTCAGACCAACCTGGTTCCCAACTTAAATAATTTAAGGGACACTCCCATAGTTTCTGCCCAAGTGTACCTCCAAGAGCAGTCTTGTGAAATTGAAACTAGTTGGCAG